AATTATTTGGGAAACTGTTCATATTTCACAATTTATAAAACCGCAGGATTTCTGTAGGGGTGAATAAAGTCTGTAAAGTTGCCTGATATGTTCTAAGGACAGATAATTATTTTCTGAACATGAGGCCTTTCAATCAGACACTACAATATCAGGATTCAAATTTATTTTTCAGTGAGTGCAGCTACAGGTGTTTTTTTTTCTGGATCCTTGGTTTTTTAGATCTCAACCCTCCATACCTGTGAGATAATTTATTAATTGCATAGTTGTACCTGTGATGGGTGGATAGTAAATAACAGAATATTGCAGATTCATGCTCTTTTCTTCCAAAGTTGCATTAAAAATAATATCTTTAAGGAAGGGAAGGAGACTAACTTGCCTACTTACGTTAAATATTATCTTATTTATAAGAAATGGAAGAAATGTACGTGGCACATTATGTAATTCTTTTAGATTCTGCCCCATCTTATAAAAATGCACCATTGTTTACTGCCTGAATAAAATAAAGTTCTGCTGAAACATGTCTTTGTAGATTTGTATCATAAAATTGATCTGCCTAATTACTGGTAATAATTAAATCATCCGATTTGTACATTAAACAAGCCCTTATTTTCCTTTGTTTTTCCTTTTGCTTTACTGAATCCACGGTGATGAGAATGGAACTTAAAAATTAGTTTTAATTTTAAGTAGATAACAGTAGAAATTCAGTGAGAAAGAGTTCGAGACAGCCCTGGGAAATTTGAAATGGAAATGATAAGAAATGGCAACCTTCTTGCCTGCAGGATCTTGCTTATTCAGTGCCCTTTCCAAATAGGAAGGCCAGGCTTCTTTGTTAATCTCTTTTCAGTACCTGGCATTTTAAGATACTCCCTTTTTTCCAAGGATTTCTATGCTATGCTACTCAGATTGAGATTAGATGTCTACTCTGCACTGGAATGGTAAATAGTACATTTATTTATTTATTTATTTTAGATTTCATGGGTGGTCTAGACCAGGGGTAGGCAACCTTGGCTCTTTTATGACTCGTGGACTTCAACTCCCAGAATTCCTGAGCCAGCCATGCTGAGGGGAAAGGGAGAGGTTTCCAAGCTGAGCCATGCTGGCTCAGGAATTCTGGGAGTTGAAGTCCACGAGTCATAGAAGAGCCAAGGTTGCCTACTCCTGGTCTCGACACATGAAAATAAATGAATAAACAAATAAAATGTAGTATGCTTTATTTCTCATGCTATTTTTTATTATTTAGATTGTTTTTCTGTTGTTTTTTTTAAAGTTTTAAAAAAAACTTCTTTGAGAAACCTGCAGTACTTCAAATAACTTTGATATTGGGTAGATAAAGAAAAAAAATACATCTTTTTTCATTTCTTCATTTAATAAAACCAATTGCCATCAGAGGCTCTTTTTAAAACAATAAATATATCAAAACATTGTATTGTTAAATTGATATAAGGGCCGAAGCAAATAATCTTTGTTATTTCTCTTTAGCTATGAGCCATCTTAACGGGCAGAAAATGTATGGCAAGATTATTCGTGTTACTCTTTCCAAGCATCAAACAGTTCAGCTACCTCGAGAAGGTCTCGATGACCAAGGATTAACAAAAGATTTTGGCAATTCACCTCTTCACCGTTTCAAGAAGCCTGGTTCAAAAAACTTTCAAAATATTTTTCCTCCCTCTGCAACTCTTCATTTATCTAATATTCCGTAAGTCTTGGCTAAGCAACTTCGTTGAAAAATTCATGTACAAGCCAAATGTTAGCTTTTAATTCTTTCCTGTCTCTCGTCTCTCTTCTACTTCTTTTTGTAGACCATCAGTATCAGAAGATGACCTGCGCATGTTGTTTGCTAATACTGGAGGCACTGTGAAAGCATTTAAATTTTTTCAGTAAGCATATTTTCTTTGAAACTTCATTTAAAATGAGGGAGCAGCTGTCTGGTAAGAATAGGGT